CGCATCTTAAAATAAATAAATAAATAATTAATTAAATTAAAAAAAAAAAAAGAAAAAAAACATTTTTACCATCACAGATGAAGGTTTTTTTTGTTTTGTTTTGTTTTGAGACAGAGTCTCGCTCTATTGCCCAGGCTGGAGTGCAGTGATATAATCTAGACTCACTGCAACCTCCACCTCCCAGGTTCAAGCGATTCTTCTGCCTCAGCCTCCCGAATAGTTGGGACTACAGGCACGTGCCACTGCATCCAGCTAATTTTTGTATTTTTAGTAGAGAGGGGTTTCACCATGTTGGCCCGGCAGGTCTTGAACTCCTGACCTCGTGGTCCACCCACTTTGGCCTCCCAAAGTGCTGGGATTACAGGCATAAGCCACTGTGCCAAGCTGATTTTTTTTTTTTCAAAGAGACCATGTCTCACTCTGTTGCCCAGATTAGTCTTGAACTCCTAGCCTTAAACAATTCTCCCACCTTAGCCTCCCCACATGCTGGGATTGTAGGTGTGAGCCACCACTTTTCAGCCCCCTTAGAAATCCTTTTTTTTTTTGAGATGAAGTCTCACTCTGTCGCCCAACCTGGAGTGCAGTGGCACTATCTCAGCTTGCTGCAACCTCTGCTTCCCAGGTTCAAGCAATTCTTCTATCTCTGCCTCCCGAGTGGCTAGAATTACAGGCATGCACTACCACACCCAGCTAATTTTTATAATTTTAGTAGAGACGGGTTTCACAATATTCGCCAGGCTGGTCTCAAACTCCTGACCTCAGGTGATGCACCCGCCTCGGCCTCCCAAAGTGCTGGGATTACAGGCGTGAGCCACTGCACCTGGCCAGAAATCCTTGAATGAATGGAATAAATGGTCCAGGAGAGGTGAGGAGGTGAACAGCTCCAGTGAGAAAGGTTCCAGAAAACAAGAGGTGTCTTTACTAGGCTGGAGCCTGGAGTCTGCATAGGCTGGCGGAGCAGAAAAAGGTGTTAAGGAGCTGGTGGGAGGTGAGAGAACCAGAGAAGGGACCGGGCAGACCAGGAGAGAAAGGCGCAAGACGTGAGGAGAGGGCTGAAGAGAGGCGGGGAAGGCAGATGGGACAAGATTTGGGGTGACCGGTAGGGCTGGGGGGAGTGTCTGCTGGGGCACATGAGTGGATGGGGTTGTCACGGAGGAGGCAACACACAGAAGGAGAAACAGATTTTAGAGGGAAGAGGTGAGACTGGGAGTGAGCAGGAGGGGCCTGCGGGCCATGGGCAGTCGGGAGGATGCTCAGGAGAAAGGTGCAAAACACAGTCCGAGGCTGGCAGCAGGAGGGAGGCGTGCTTAGGACACCCTGCGCGTTTGCAGGCAGGAGCGATGGCAGCTGGGTCTCCTGGACAAGTAGGGAGGCAACCAGGGCTTTCCCTGGGTCAGAGAAGGGGGATGAAAACGTTTGGGATATCGGGAATGCAATAGTCAGGCACCCTGAGATGGAGACGGGGCTGGAGAGCACCGGGGACCAAGGCTAGCATTGGTGAGGAGGTATGCAGGAAGGTGGGAACTGAGGATGGGACACCCAGAGATGGCCTCAGCCCAGCTTGAGGTGGCACAGAGACCAGGCCAGGCTCCGCATCCATCACGGCAGCAGCATGGCCCTTGACCCTGGGGCAGTGTTCGTCCTCCACACCTACTCGCTGCGTGGCGTCTCTGCGGCCTGTGAGTGGGTTGTGGCCATGCTGCTGTTCATGCTCTTCGGTCTCTTGGCCGTGGACTTCTCCACCCTGCAGAGCTGCACCCTGTGTGTTCAGCCGTGGCCCAGCCTCAGTCCCCCGCCAGCCTCCCCCATCTCCCTGCCAGTCCGACTGTCGCAGGCATCCTGACCCGGGCCTCGCCCTCACCAGTGAAGCAGCAAATATGGGGCCAATCCCAGCACCCTGCACCCCAAAAGATGAGCCATGGGGATCTCTCCAACCAGCTGGGGCTGCCGCTGATGGACCCGGTGCTGGAGGACGTGCATGCCAGCGCGGAGGGCCTCTGAACAGCTGGTCGCAGCCAGCATCCCTGTCCCCGCCTTCGGGCCCTGCCCCTGCAGTCGGGCACCCAGGAAGCGAGAGGCCAAGGCCAGCCAGCTGTCCCTGATCAAGGCTATTTTTTATTATTATCTTTTTTTTTTTTTTTTTTTTTTTTGAGACGGAGTTTCGCTCTTGTTACCCAGGCTGGAGTGCAATGGTGCGATCTCGGCTCACTGTAATTTTTGCCGCCGGCGGAATCAGAGACACAGACGCAGGCAGGATCACGCGAAACCAGAATTCCTTCCGGAGAGCAAATCCGTACAGAAGGTCGTTGGGGGAGGACCAGGGGAGGAGGGGCCCGGGGAGAGGGGGTTGGGGATGACACAGGGACAGAGGGCCCTGTCCGGATCTGCTAAGCCACCCCAACCAGCTCCCGTCCCTCCCCCACCCCACCCCGCAGAGAGATTGATCAATAAATAAAATAATAAATTAATAAATAAAATAGAAACAGCTCCCCCGCCCCCATTCCCCTAGAACCACCCCCATTTGGGCACGGCCCACGGAGCCCCATCCCTGCAGGGCAAGGCCGGGTTTTGCGTCCACCCCCCTCCCGACATGTTCCTTGGGCCTTATTTACAGATTCACAGTTGGGGGGCAGGGAAGGGGGTGGGGGGGTCCCCTCCCTCCCTGGCCCCCTGGGGTCAGGGCAGAGGGGTCCCGTTGGTGGCCAGGAGCTTCTTGTCCTTCGGGGGGCCTCGGCGGGGAGAGCTGCTCAGCTCTGGGTCTGGGCGGCCAGGCGGGGGCTGCAGGCTTCGGGGTGGGGCACTGGCAGGCCGGGTCTGGGCCCCATTCTTCTCATCTGCGAGGGAGGAAGAGGTTTTTCCTGGTTTCCACAGCCCAGGGCTAAGGTTCTCATTACCAGGGATGGGGGCAGAGTCTCCTATCAGTAGGTCTCAGTAGCCCCAGGGCTCCAGGTCTCCGATAAGGCCTAATCCCTCCACCACCTGCTGGAAGCCTCCAGACTTGGTTTCTCAGAGGACGTACCCCGAGGGACAGGGCCTGGCTTCCCTAGGATGGGGGCTGCACCCTAGGCCCCTGTAACTCTTGTGGCTTTGGAAAAGGGGCCAGGTTAGTTCACAGGAGACCTGGGCCAGGACCAACTTCAGGAGAGCCTCAGATTCTGGCTATGATACTATTCGTTAAGAAACAGCCAGGGGCCCCCGACTCCTTCCTAGTCTGGGTATTAGGGAGAAATGTTCTATGGAACGGGGCTCAAGGGAGTCTACTGGTGGGGGACCTCAGGCCCCTCACGCTGGGGCAGTCTGACTCAGGTCAACCTTCTGTGGGGCCTGAGGCCACCTCCTCCTGGGGACTGTGGTGGAAACACTGGTTGCCAGATGGTCTCTAGCAATTTCCATGGGGCCTAGAATGACCTGAGGTTCCCTGGCAGAGACCTCGTTTCTCTCTCAAGAGAAACTGATTGACATCACTGAGTCTTCAAAAATAAAAAATAAAAATAAAGAGAAACTGAGGGGGCTGGCTGCAGTGTCTCATGCCTGTCATCCCAGCACTTTGGGAGGCTGAGGTAGGCGGATCACTTGAGGTCAGGAGTTCAAGACCAGCCTGGCCAACATGGTGAAATCCTGTCTCTACTAAAAATACAAAAATTAGCCGGGCATGATGGTGGGTGCCTGTAATCCCAGCTACTCGGGAGGCTGAGGCAGGAGAATTGCTTGAACCTGGGAGGCAGAGGTTGCAGTGAGCTAAGATTGTGCTATTGCACTCCAGCCTGGGTGATACAGGGAGACTCCATCTCAAACAAAAAGAGAAACTGGGGGCTTGTCATAGCAACCAATATGACTCGGAGGCCTGGCCCCCCACTCCATTCTCCTTTATGAGACAGGTGGCTGAGCCCCCGGGATGCCTGTTAGCCCTACATCTTTGAGGGTGTGCCCCTTTTGGGACCCCGGGTTGTTAAGTCCAGCTTTCCTTGGCAACGGGATCCAGGGGATCTAATTTGCTTTCCGGTTGCCCCTAGCAACCAGAAAACCCTGTTTCTCCACCTCAGCATGACTGCCATTTGGGACCCAGCTGTCGTGGGGGGCTGTTGTGTGAATTGTGGGATGTTGGCAGCATCCCTGGCTTCTACCCACAAGACGCCACTGGCATCCCCCTGCTCTCCCCAGTTGAAACGAGCAAAAATGTCTCCAGACGCTGCTAAGTGTCTCCCAGGGGCTGTGCTAGGTTGAGCGACGGCCCCTCCAAGGATGTCCACATGCAGATGCTGAGAACTCGTGACGATGTCCCTGACAGGGCAGAAGCCACCCTGTGCTGTGGGGAAGGTTAAAAACTTTGAGGTGGGAGATTATCTTGGAGCATCTGTGTGGGTCCCACTGAGTCACCTTTTCCCAGCTAAGGTTGGTCAGAGGGATATATAGCGTCACTGGCTTTGAAGATGGAGGAAGGACCCTAACCAAAGGCGTGCGGCAGTGTCTAGGAACCGGGAAACGCAGGGAAACAGACTGTCCGAAGAGCCTCTGGGCAGGAATGCAGCCCTCCAGGCACCCCGATGTTAGCCCAGGGAGACTGGGGGACTTCTGACCTCCAGGACTGCATAATAGTCACTTGCGGTTGGGCGCTGTGGCCTGTGATCTCAGCACTTGGGGAGGCCAAGGAGGGAGGTTCACAAGGTCAGGAGTTCAAGATCAGCCTGGCCAACATAGCGAAACCCCGTCTCTACTAGCTGGGCATGGTGTCGGACGCCTATCCCAGCTACTCGGGAGGCTGAGGCAGGAGAATTGCTTGAACCCAGGAGGTGTTCAAGAGAATCTTGAACCAAGATTGCGCCACTGCACTCCAGCCTGGGTGACAGCGCAAGACTTCATCTGAAAAAAAAAGCTGGGTGAGGTTGCTCACACCTGTAATCCCAGCACTTTGGGAGGCTGAGGAAAGCAGATCACGAGGTCAGGAGTTCAAGACCAGTCTGGCCAACATAGCGAAATCTCGTCTCAACTAAAAACATAATAAATTAGCTAAGTGTGGTGGCAGGCACCTGTAATCCCAGCCACTTGAGAGGCTGAGGCAGGAGAATCGCTTGAACCCAGGAGGCGGAGGTTGCAGCAACCTGAGTGACAGTGCGAGACTCCAACTCAAAAAAAAAGGAAAGTCACTTGTGTTGTTTCAGACACCAAGGCTGTGTCATTTGTGGATGGCGGCCATAGGAAACAAACACGGGCGAAACCAGCTCCCCTCGTTGAGAACCACGGCTCCAGAGCAAAGACCTGACCCTGGGACTCAGGGTTTCTGGTGACAAGGCCAAGGCTGCCCTGGTTCCTGCCCAACACTGGGCCCTGTTTCCTTTCAACCCAGGGGTCTGGAAAGGGGCCTGGGTCCTGTGAGGATGCTGCCTGACTCCCCCAGAGCAGATGGCTGTCCACATGCCCTGCAATGGAGTCCGGTACCTTGGTTCACTGCGTCCCCTGGGACCTGGTTCCTAGGGGAGGGACTGCCATGTCTCAGGAATGAGGGCTGATTTCCAGGGCAGGCGCTCTCTTCCCTCCAGAATTCTGGCTACCTCTGGTTGCTCGGGCAGGCATACCTTATGGTGTGGACTGAATGCTGCATCCTCCCAAATTCACGTGCTGAAACCCAACCCCGAGGTGATGGCATCAGGAAGTCAGGTCTTTGGGAGGTGATTAGGTCATGAGGGTGAGGCCTTCATGAATGGGATTAGAGTCCTTAGGAAAGATGCCCCGGAGAGTTCCCTTGCCCCTTCTGCCGTGTGAAGACACAGCACAAACGTGCTGTGTGTGACCCAGAAAGCAGCTCTCATCTGATACCAAACCTGCCGGTGGCTGGACTTCCCGGCCTCCAGAATTGTCAGCAATAAATTTCTGTTGTTTGTAAGTTACCCAGTGTATGGTATTTTCTTACAGCAACCTGAATGAACTAAGAGATCTTTGCAGCAAACCCCACCGAGGCCTGGCCTCTGCTGTTCCCTGATGGCTAGAGAATTCGACTCTTTGATGACCAGGACTGGTGAACCCGCGGCCTGATTCCCCACAGCAAGATCTTGCACATTCCCATGAACTCAGCTCAGAACTCTGATGGGTACGGACCATTAGGCCCTAGCCCCAGGGTGAGGTGAAGTCTGAGACCTGTGAAAAGGGTGACCCATTTGTCCTGGGTTTAGACTCAAAGCCTTGCATCCCAGAAACACCCTTCAGTCCCAAACAAACCAGGACAGTGGGTCACCCTCCTCCTGGACAGAGGTCCAGAACCTCTGCCGGCAGAATGTTCCATGACGCCCAACACAGAGCCTGTCATCCTCTTAGGGACCCCTGGAAGCCAGTCCTCAGGTTGCTAGGGAGACCCTCCTCAGCCCCCAGCCTCTCGGGGAACCTGCTCACAACTCTGCTGATGAGATCTCAGCTAACACAATGGTGAAAGAGCCCATCAGCTGGGCCTCCTCTGCAAACCAACCCCCAGAGCACCTGCTCACGCTGGACCTCTCCCCACCACCCACGGCCCCCACCACCCACCTGCCAGGGCCTGCACGGAGGGCTGGTCATGAGTGCTCAGTAGCTGTGCCTGGATGGTCTCAACCACTCGCTTGAACCGACGGCTGGGACCTGGAGGGACAGGTAGGCAGAAAAACACTGACTGGGGGTCCAGGAACGGGAAGGCCTCCCAGCCCGCAGAACCCAGTCCCTCCACCCAGCAAACAGCTCTCCTCCTCCACGTCTCCACCTCCCCTGATCCGCCGTGGCCACATGAATCCACGGTTTGCAAATGGGTCTGTGCTGCTATTTAAAAAAACACGGTCAGACTCACATACCTTCAACTTCAAATAACAGGTGTTGATTTCTATTTAAATAGATACTATTGCCTGTTGTTAGTTTCTAGTTGACCCCATGAAGGACCAGAAATGTAAGAAAGTTGGTGCCGAGCACGATGGCTCCAGCCTGTAATCTCAGCACTTTGGGAGGCCAAGGCAGGCAGATCACTTGAAGTTAGGAGTTCGAGACCAGCCTGGCCAACATGGCAAAACCCTGTTTCTACTAAAAATACAAAAATTAGCTGGGCATGGTGGCGCATGCCTGTGATCCCAGCTACTGAGGAAGCTGAGACAGAAGAATCTCTTGAACCCAGGAGGAGGAGGTTGCAGT